CAGTAATACTCGTGCTTTTTTCTGAGGTGACAAGTCAAAATGGCTGCCACTGAAATAAAGACCTGTGTTTGGTGACATCTCTCACCTTAGCTCTGCCCCAGCTTCAAACTGAGCAGAGGTCTAATGGAGTGGAATAGAATGGGATTAAACTTTACTGTCTACAAAGGTGGAAAATTGTCTTTTGCCCAGCCAGCTGTTCATAAATGTAAACTACTGTGTGGCTGTGCAGGGCCCTTAAGTTTTCTTGTGTACTGAAAGTGCTCTTCCTTTCCACTGCAACTGTGTTTGGGATTCAGAAATAAGCTGCTAAATATGGCACACTTGAAACAAATGCCTCTGATTGGTCATGGAGTGTCTAATTTGTTGATTTTGACCAGAGCTGGCACTCTAAACGCACAACAACAATACTCCAAAGAATCACGTCTGATTAATTGTGGAAGGCAAACTCGTGGTTATTATTACAAAATGAATGAACACAAAAACTTCCCTGACAACAAGGAGAGCCGATAATGACAGAAGCTTCATTTCTGGGTGAAATATTCATTTAATTTCCTTTTCAAATTGGTTGTATTCAGATTTATAGATCACTCAGAGATAAGCAGATGCAGCAGGGCTAGTGCTGGTCCTCTCAAAAGCTTGGCTGTGACTTACCTCATTCATATTTTATAGGTTACAATTTGTGCAGAACAGGACTTATGAATTCAGTTCTCTTTAAGGTTATAATAATACTGAGCATTTAACTCACTTTTCTTTGCACAGATGCACATATTTGCTGTATTTCCAAGACTCATATTAGAAGGTGTTTTGACCTGCTGGGCTTGGGCACTGTGAGTGACAGCAAGAGTTTTTATAATTAACTTAAATGTAAGAAAAAAAAAGCCCCTTTAGAATGTATCACTATTTAACTGCTGAAATAATACACAGGACTTTCTTAGTGCTTATGCTAATGAGGGGGTGGCAGTCTCTTAGGCGGTAGAGCAGGTTGTCTCCTATCCAGAAGGTTGGGGGTTCGATTCCCAACCTCTCCAGTCTCCAGTCAACATGTCCTTGAGCAAGACACAACCCCCAGTTGTTCCCAGTGATATCACCAGTGTGTGAATGGGCAAAGAGTGTGAAAGAGCTTTGAGCGTGCTGTAATGCATAGAAAAGCGCTATACAGGTATAAGACCACTTACCAGTGCTGAATCTGACTTTCACAGTCTTTCACCACCTGTTTTAGGACAAATAATTTCAGTATGTATCACAGTGAAAATGCATGCAAGCTACACTCCTGTGCCAAGGCTTTGGCAGCCTAAAGGGGTTATGGGAAAGGGCAACCATTATTACTGCCACACTCAGAATCTCAAAAACATTTGTTGTTAAGTGCTTTCATCTGACTGTGATGCTGCAAATACTACTATGCAAACACACAAATGATAAATATTGTGTCTAAGTTAAAGACACAAAAGCAGAAACAGACAAAAGACAGGAAAAGCAGGAGAAGGAGACAAACACAGCTGTCAAAACTCCATCCAAATGGCCCAGACATCTGCACAAACACTGCTTCAGTTTGATATATGATGGCAGATAAAGTTTATGTAAACCAAGTGTTTACATAAAAGTTTAAGGCAATCTGTCTGAAGTGGTTTCAGAGCTGGCCACACACACACGCCCCAAATCAAAACATTTGAATGCTGGACTGTAAAATATGCTACAAGAAAGTGCAGTCCTGATTACAGTTTCAACCTTCTAAGTGTAAGATTTGTACATATTAGTAATGCAAAAGTTACATTTCCAAGACTACGTTGTTTGTAACATCTGGGACCTAAAGGGGGGCTATGTGGGGGTCACATGATAGAATTACTATCTAGCTCAAGGTGGCAATGCATGAATACATTAAAAGTCAGTTTGCCAAAGGCTGGAGGCTAATATATCTATATATATATAAAGTAAAACCAACACCATGAGCAGAGAAGTTACGAGAAACGAAACTAAACACAGCTTTCTCCGTGCAACATCTAAACATGAAGCTGAATATGTACATGGCTGCCAGTGAGGAAACTTCTCGAAAACGGACAGTCACAACAACAAACGTACAACTTTGAAATGCACAGTTAGTGTAGAAACGTCTGCATTCAATGTGAAAAACATGTGGGGACCCACTCACTGGTTCACCGCGTGGCCAGCTGTTGACTGTGCTGTTGGCTAGTTAACACATTAGTTAAGCTGTTAGCAAGCAGCATGTTTGCCGTTGACCGGTTACCTTACCTTCTCATATTCCTCTCGGAGTCTGACAACTCCGCCGAGGCGCTCTATATTCATTGCACCTGTGTCAGCCATTGTCAACCCACGTGCACAACAGGAATCTATGGTGTTGTCGGCCCCAAAACAAAGCTCAGGGGTCGTTGTGAGTCCTAAAGAAGTGTTTATGAATGCAGCAGCAGCTATTCCTGGGAGCCGTTCTGCTCGTGTTCATCAATGGGCCAGTGATAGGTATCCACACGTTCGAAAGTGATATCATTTCACCCTCTCATTTCAATTTTTCTGCATGATTTCCAAAAATATCCGCGACTTCAATATCCAAAGATTAGCGAATATTCCTCGTCACTCTCGCTGCGCCATTCACCTCGGTCCACACCGTCAAAACACTACGAATAACACCGGAACTACCGGTCAAAACATTCAAAATAAACCACCTCATAGGACAATTTACAGTTCTGCAAAGTAGTATTTGCTATAAATACTAAAATAAAATAAAGCACAGCTGTAATTGAAATCGTAAATTTACAAAAATACTAAAATTACTAGTTAAACAAGTATAGGGAAACTTTTGCATTCAAAATCTCCACTGTAATACCCCAGTTCTTTAATTGGACAGCTCTGAATAACGAAGGAGTCAGTCTTTCTTCATTTAGTGCTGATTTATTTTAACCACAAGAAAAAATGACAAACACAACCCAGGTTCAGACTCCATCTCTTATCTAGAGCTCCACATGCTTGGAGCAGCTGCATTTCTACCTAGTCATAACAAAATGAACAATCTCAATGTGTGTGTCTGTTGTCACGTGGTGTGTAGCTAAGGCATTCATTCATTTATTCAGACATAATATTCTAACACAAGATTAATACAGGAAAGGAATTGGTGTCATGGTTCACTTTTCAGAATCAACATTCTGTCTGCTAACCTTGAAACAAAACAGACTAGAGCAGACTTTAAATCGTACTAAATTGCATTGCTAACAGATTAAGGTCTAACAATTACTAATATCTAACACCACACTTGCTAATACCGTATGTAGGCTACATGATACTGAATGTGGAAATGTAAATGTAATGTATGCCGTATGTAGGCTACATGATACTGAATGCGGAAATGTAACCATACACAAAAATGTAATGTATTGTTACATGTGCTAAAACTAAAATGACTGAAGCCATTGAAGGCCTTAAAACAGATTTTGGCACAAGTCACTCATTAAAACAGGGACATCAAGGGCAGATAATATTTTAGCACAAAATACCAATTAAGTACATTACCACAACACTAGCACAGTGATCTTGGGACTTTAAGGCTCTTAGGATTATGGGGACTTTTGTCAGTTGCCACCTTTGCCAGACTGGCAAATCACTACTGGAGCAAAATGTTACAATAAAAATACTTATTTTACAGAATGGGCATTGTTAAATTTACTGCTGTGTTATCACTGTACTGTTGTATTCTGGTTTTTGTTTGTTTGTTATTGATGCCTTACTGTGTGTGCAGCATTTTTTTTTTGTAGTTGGTCAAGAATCTTGGGTAGTTTAGTTTTATAGCCTATTAGGCTATTGCATGTTTTATAAGATGATCACGTTTTTGTGTTTACGTTGCTAAAGCAGTGTCTTCTTTCTTCAGTCCTGTTTCATGCTTCTATTTTGAAGACAAAACATTGTATTTTCCGTTTTTTAGCCAAATGAAGTGATCTTAACTCAGCTGCTTCTGTCTCCCGGTGTACTCTGGGTAAAAGTGGACGAATGCAAGAATGTAAACAGTAGACGTGCTGTGGCTGCATAAATGCTACTGTAGCGATCGGCCGTCGGTAACGTAGTATGCACAGCCCCTTTTCACAAACGTATGCATTTAAAACAGTAACTGTGGGTTTAAATTCAAATCTTGTCATGTCACCGGTGGGTCTGCCTTTAGCTGTGCGAAGGCCAGTATTATACGGCTAATGCTAAAACATACAAGCTATATAATAGCCAGTATGTGTAAAGATGCAATAAAATTGACGGGACAGCTGCGACGAACAAGTTCGGTTTCAGAGCATGAACGTAATCTCCTCTTGTTACCAGCCCCTGCTTGTTCGGTTCTCATTGGCTGCCTTTGTTGCTTTTAATATTGTCGGAAATATTACAATTACAAGATACCAAATGCAAATAACGCACTAGGTGACTGTGAAACAAGAATGAAGAACCCTCCAAAACACAAAATCATCCATTCTTAGCCATATAAAACATTCCAAGCACTAAATATTTAGTTTGGTTGCAAGAGCCCATTTAATATAACCATTAATTTGAAAAGACAACCTTAACCCCAATCCTAACCCTTTAAAACATTTTTATGTATAAAAAAAATCATCAGTTTAAACTTTTTAATATAATCAAGACAGAAACGAAATATCTAGGTTAATTTATAAAGGTTTTAATTAACACATTATTTTCTTACTAGCCTACACATTCATTCATGATAGGCAGTTAGGTCTTCCACAATGATTTCTCAATTTACAAGAAAACATGTTGAATGTAAAAATATCTTTTATAAACAAATGAAGAAGATTTCAAAGTGTATGTGAATTTCCTCCTCTTCTCATTCTCTTATTGTCAATATCCTACTTATCAATTCTGTTAAATACGCTTTTAATGAAGTGTGTGGATAAGAGTTTTCAATGATTTACAGTCACATTAGACATTAAAGATAATAAGTTAAAACTATGTTGGTTATGTTCCCACAAAACCCCAGAAAAATCGGGATAGGTCGAATGTCCCTGAATGCGGCATTGTTGTCCTTCCCATCTAGCTTTGCGACCATAGGCAAGCAAAATCATACCGGTCAGAAATAAGGGGAAGTCGGTTCATGGTTGGAATTATTATAGTATTAAAAGACAACTGTAAATGAGGATTTCTTGACAAAGCAAGGTATGTTAATTACATTTACTGAGGTTATTACAGTAGGCTTTACTTCATAGTCATTTAATATTTTGTAGAAAGCGGAACCCATTGTTTAGCATAACACTAGCCTGGCCTTACAATGCTTTCTGATGCAATCATGTCTATTGCCATCTTTAATATAATATAATTAATAAAGCATTAGGCAAATGTATTACTGGGTAATGAAGGATCGTATTTCGTCTACCTTTTGCGAGGTGTATGTCGGTGTCTAATGTGATTTTATAAATTGTATGTTTGTGACTATCCAACAACAAATAACGTATTTCTCTATACACATTTTAAAGGTGAATAATGTTAGTTTACAGTTCCAATTTCTGTCATGTCTTCTAAAAGTACAAACGTGATCCACAGCATGTACCATCGAGTTGATGATGTCATGAAGCTGTGTTGTGAGTTATCTGTCAATCAAGAAGTCCAGACCACAGTGAAAGGCTCAGGGAAGGGGGCAGCAGCAGCTGGGGGACTGGCCTTTGCTGGAGGGTTGGTTGGGGGCCCTCTTGGTATTGCAGTCGGTAAGTGTAAAATGCAACAGTTCTAACTTAATACTTATAATTATCTTGTCTCATTTTATGAAAACTGGTGAACTGGAATCACCTTACATATTCTGTATTGCTACAGAATCAATTGACAATTGATTAATTGCAAATGTCTATTAGAACTTTGAAACCCACTTTCCCTGCAGGCGGTGCTGTCGGAGGCCTTTTGGGATGCTGGCTGACCAGTGGGCAGTTCAAACCACTGCCTCAGATCATCATGGAACTGAGTCCTCAGCAGCAGCAGAAGCTTTATGACGATCTCATGATCATCCTGGGTGATATTCAGTGGACAGATTTAGTCCAGCTAACTGCTCTGGTTATGGGCAATGCCACCCTGAAGCAGCAGCTCACAGGCGCTCTTCTTGGATATGTCACCAAGGAGCTCCAAGCAGAGGTGCGCTATGTGGATTAAAACATTAGAAAACTTGACTCGGAGGCCTAACTAATGTGAACTGTTTTTATGAAGCTGGAGATACTTGTGATCAAATATGAAACCACATATTATAAAACTGCACAGACACCATCACAGTCATGGCAACAGATGACCCTGGTTAATAGGGGGTTAGTACATTATGACTTAAAACAGCTGTATAGTTGCATTAATTTATTATGGGAAGTGCAGTTCTCAGTAGAAGGCATTATTCATTAAGTCTTTAATGTATTGATAATCAATCTGGCTTTACAGTGTAGCACTGCTCTCAAAACGTACAGTTTATTGTCATATTTAGACACATGATTATGCATTGAGTGAGCACCAGTTGTATAGCGTGAAATGTTTTGATTTGATGTGAACTTATGAAGTGCCAGAGTTTCCCACCATCTGTGTCCAGTATACTGTATTGCGATCTTTGGGTCAATCCAAATGTTTTAATGCTTTAAATGACTTCTTTAATAAAAACAAAAAAGTTGACGGACTTCACTGTTTAGTGCAGTTTTGCATGGCATACTTTATCCATCAGGTTTTAATCCATCTGTGATCTAACAGTTACACTGTAGTGCGAGTTCTGAGATCTTCCTTGCATTTCTGGAATAAAATTGGCATGTTTTCTATATAACACTGACCCATTTAAATGAAAAAGGGTGATAAGAACAAATAAAGTATGCATGTGTCAGGAATAACAGGCCCGGGATTCAAGGTTCAAAATGGTCCAGAATAAATTATATCTGAATTCTGTGGCTCTAAACATTATTAAAGTTGCTTGGGGGTGTCTGGTGGTTGAACAGTGGAGGCACATGGTTCAAATCCCAGGCAAGGGACCCTTGTTGTATGTAACAACCCTGACTCTGCATCTCTCTCTGCACTGTCTAATAAAACAGGCTTGAAACAGGCCGTGACTACCCTCTAAAAAAGGCATAGAACACATTAGTGTAGTGTTTGCAACTAACAGGTGTAATACTTGAGTGAGCTTCATGTCTATGCTATAATTTTTACCAGGGTCTGGTCTACATTACAGCACTAACAACCCTGACTCTGCATCTCTCTCTACACTGTCTAATAAAACCAACAAAACATTGCTGTGGTTGTGTAACACATACGCATTCCAAATATGTACAGATTTTCTTTATACACTTTTGGGATTGCTGCTGCCTTTTCTGCATAATCATGTTTGTCCTCAGGGTTCCTTGGCCTCTTGTGTTCATCTGTATGATTGCCAACCATAAATTAACTCCATGTAGGCATGAAACAGGCCGTGACTACCCTCTAAAAAAGGCATAGAACACATTAGTGTAGTGTTTGCAACTAACAGGTGTAATACTTGAGTGAGCTTCATGTCTATGCTTTAGTTTTTCAGGGTCTGGTCTACATTACAGCAAATCTCTGTAGACCTTAAATTAGCCTGAATGATAACTTCATAAATTAATAGATGGCCCTATAAAGGGACGTGGCTGGAACAAATGTTATAATTCTATGAATAGGCTAGAGGCTAGTGCAACTCAAGCTATATTTGATAAACTTCTCGTTTTTCTTGTGTTGATTTATTTTCTGCACTTAAATTATGTCTGTGGGTTATACTTTGCTTCCTTTTTCTGTGGAGCATTAACTTCAAAACTTTTGGTGTTACCTAATGTTATTAGCAAAATCCTAAATGTATACCACCATTCTAAATGCTACAAGTAGTGTGAAGTCTAGTGTAACAGAGTAGTGTTAATCCCAGTGACTCGAGATCAAAATAAACCTCTTTTTAAATGGGATACGATGCAATAACTCAATAATGCAGATGGAAATATGCCTTTATTAGTAAATACATATATGCCACTCCAAACTCTTTCACAGAGCAATCAAAAATGCACATGACAGAGCGGACCTGAGATACAACTCCTGTATTTAGCCAACACTGATTGTGTCATCATCAAGGAATTCATAGTCAGGAACCTCCAGGTTCGAAGGAGCAGGTCCCTTTCTTATTCTCCCTGAAGCATCATAGTGGGAGCCATGACATGGACAGTAGTACCCTCCGTATTCTCCTGAATTGGCGATGGGCACACAACCTAAATGGGTGCACACACCAATAACAACAAGCCATTTGGACTGGATCACTCTGTCCTTGTCATGCTGGGGGTCACGCAGCTCTGCGATGCTCACACTTTCCTCTATGGCGATTTCCTTCTCTGTGCGATGACGGACAAACAGGGGCTTCCCTCTCCACTTGAAGGTCATGTTTTTGCCTTCAGGGATGGAACTAAGCTTGACCTCAATCTTGGATAAGGCCAGGACATTAGCTGCTGGATTCATGGAAGAGACCCACTGGACGACTGCTGTCTTGGCTGTATAGAGGCCCAAAACAGAGACTGCTCCAGTGATAAGGTAGGAAAAGGCCCTTCTCTCGTCCCCACTCTCCTTGGAGTACTTATTGGGGTTGATAACTTCGGGACGGCGGTACTCTGTGAAGTCAGGAATCTTAAGGTCTGTGTGAGCAAGGCGGGTTCCTCCAGGAGCTGGAAACAAGATGTGATTCAGTTTTAGAACGAGAGGCAACATTAGACTGTAAACTACAGTATCAGCAAAAACTGCATTTCTGTCATTGTGTAATATTTAGGATTTAATTCATTTACTACATTTCTCCTTCACACGTTGGAATGTCAACACATCACAATATTCTCCTATTCAAGGATTAATTAATAGTAGACCTAATAATGAATGTAGTCATGTGACCTTGGAAATACAATAACTCCCCTATCAACACAGCAAATAAATAATACTAATAAAAAAAAACACTTTGGGACATCACATTTAATTAAATTGAAGTAATTTCTATACTTCACACAGCATCATACCAGTCTTTTTCATAATATAAATTCCTTTGCCCACATCCCATAAAGAATATCCGATCATGTTTATCTGGTGAACATAAATGTTTAGGTCACCTCACTTGTCAATATCAGGCTTTTTGTGACCCTCTCGTTCAGATAACAGACTTCTATGTTCTGCTAGCCACAGCCATTTGTTAGCAATAGTTTTAGCTGACAGACAAGAACGGCGGCCTAAAAACATACACACCAATTTACACGTCTAATACAGAAATGACAATTATTGAGTAATGCGTCACTATTTGCTTTTACCGCTACAGTACGCAGCATAGCACAAAATGGCTAATGTTGATAGCCTCTGTGATCCGGCCTTACCAGCAGCAGGCTCAAACTCTTGAATTCCACGAAACAGCTGATTTTTAACCGCGTGCTTTGTTGCCTGCAGGTACGGGGAAACAGCCCCAAGACGAGCGGCAATAGCCATCATCTTTACCCAAAATAAGAGACTTCTACCCCGCCGTTGGGAAGCACGACCTTGGGTGTACAATTTTTAAGTGCAACACTCCGATCTGGTTCACCAGAAACTCGCTCCGCCTTTGCAACGTTCCGATTGACGTGCGGACTGAGCTTAACGTCCATTGTGTTTTCCTCCTAAATATATCGCACTGTTATACAGTTTAACTGTTATCACTAATACTAAAATGTCCACATATATTTGCATATGAAGAGAGTTTCATACAAAATTGTAGAAAAATTACAATAACTGCTAATTTAGTACTGGCATTTATCTAAGTCAGCTGGATCGAGGGGTCTTCGTGATGTAAACATAGGCCCTCTCACAAAATACGGAGACGAGCTACACAATGGTAACCTGAAAGAAAGAAAAAAGAAAATAAAGCAAACATGAAAATACCAAAAAGAAAACTATTTCTTCTCATTATTTTTGCATATGTGGCATTTTCACTCTATGCTGCATATAATGTCTTCTTCAGTACAAAAGTAATCTCCCGCGTTCACAGGGTGGTAAAGTTAGGAGCACCCTCGGGTAATTTCACTTAACCGTAATTTAACTTCTGTCACATAAATTGCCAATTAAACACTGGTCTCATTTTCCTTTTCAGATTATTTATATGCCGATAAACTAAATGAGGATCGTGTACTGTGTATACAGGTGGTGTCAGAGATGGAGGTCTTGTCTTACCTCTTATAGCAGACGAGTGGAATCCGTGGGAAGATGAACAGGTGGAGTACAACTCTGCTCTGAGCAAAAAGAGAGAGGCCTTCAAACAGTACCTGGGGCGAATTGACAAAAACAAACCCAAAAGATACAAGGTCCAAATCTGGGGGAAAGCTGCCATAGGTAAGTCGTGGTTTTAAGATATTATTAAGCTGCCACAGGCTTCAAAGTCTGTGCTGTCATCACAAAACGGCAGTACTGTGACTTTATAGTGGCAGTTTTCATCCACATGTTCATTCAAGTAGAAACAAAAACTTTGTCATAATTGTGCCTGTCAAAAATTATATAGAAAAAAAAATCGGACAAACCTGTTTTTCACATTTGGCGAATGAATAAATCAAGCTTATCTTAATTTATTCACGCTTTAAAAATTGCATTTTCTAATCCTCTCCGAGTTAAGGTTTTTGTCATTGATTCATATCAACAACTATATAGACAAACAAAATACAAATAATTTCTGAATTGCTAGGCAAAAAATATAAGACATGGTCAATGCAACAGTACAAAAAGCACTTGAATCATTACAGGCCTATATTTAAAATGTGAATGTAGCCGCACATGATGTAAAACATATAGAAGTAACAAAACTACAATACTTGGGCCATTATGATGAGAAATAGGCTGGGGAACAGGCTCCCATACTCTCTGGCCTTTACGTTAGCTGTCCTGTAGCATGCCTGTCGTTTTGACCTCACTCTGATTTTGTGCAGTAGATAAATAGCAAAAATATATTTTGTATTCATCTGGTGGGGATGTGATGAAGATAAATATAGATTTTAAAGTAATGTTTAATGTTGTATTGAATGTACTGAATTAAATGTGTTACATTAACACAAATGTAATTATGGCTAATAATGACTGATACAGACTACATCAGTTTGACCATGGACGGCATTTACATATTGAACAGTTTAGAATACCTGTGCAAATATGTAATAAATTATCTAGAGCAAATGTTTTTGAAAAGCATAAGTCTACTGGCCAGCGTAAGTGTTTGTTAAAAAGAAACAGTTTCCTACCAGGTAGGTTAGGGCTGGTGTCATGTGTCATGGGTGCCTAGCACATGTATGATGGCACAGCCTAATGCCCACTGTGGGACCCGATGATAGGTAAAAACATCATTTAGCATGAATACTGGACTTTGATAAGAATGCTCACCCACGTTTTGGTGCATTTAACTGTGTATTGATAACTGACACCTGATAATACCAGGAGTGTTCACTTACAGTACATACTGTAGACGCAAACTACATAAAACTGATTTATGCATAACTGTACCACACAAGCTGATATTTTAAATCTTACAGAAAATTGCATTAAACCTATTTTTCCCCTCAGGCCTTTACCTTTGGGAACATATTTTAGAAGGACCCCTCAACCCTACTGACAAGGTTGCACAATGGAGAGAAGGGGAGCTGCAGTTAGGAAATGTTGATTTCAGGTAACAAGTCGCAGATGGGATGTTTAAAAACTGCCAAACCCAACAATTGCTGAAATAGACTGAATATCAGATTGATTTCTTGCCTCTCCATCTTTAGTTTCTACACAGGTCCTGCTGTGGTTCAGGGCCATGTCCCTCTAGATATGAACAGTCTCGTACTTGTTCTGAATGGCCGGGAGCACCAGAAGGTCTCCTACTCCACACGGTGGCTGGAGCATGTCCAAGCTCTGGTACAATCCCACACAGTTTCGCATGTGGCTGTCGTCCTGCTGGGCAACGAGCACTGCAAAAATGACTGGATTGGCCCGTACTTAAAGAGAAATGGTGGCTTTGTGGATCTGCTGTACCTAGTGTATGACAGCCCTTGGGTCAATGACAAGGATGTCTTCCAGTGGCCTCTTGGTGTCGCCACGTATGTCACCCTTTAGTAGCTTTCTGTCTCTTTGTGTTTTACATCATAATGTTCCACATCAGTACATGAAATTATGCAGGTTGCCTTGTTAAATGGTTAAAAATAGTCTAACATGTTCTTCTATTCATTTATATGCAGATACAGGCAGTTCCCTATGATCAGGCCTAATGCCCAATTGATTACCTCCATCAGGCCATACCTCTGCAATTTCCTAGGAACTGTTTACAAAAATTCCTCCAGAGAAACACTCATGCAGGTGCTGAAACAGTCTGGCCTGGAGAAGGAATGCATCACCACTGCCAGGGAGAAGTAAGTTATTAGCCATCATATGAGCCAACTAATATGGAAGAGTAGAAATTTGATATTGTGTTTCAATTACTGTCTTATTTATATATTGCCATTTATACTATACTGTATATATTGCCAGCAACATTTTGCTTATTTGGTTATCTAATCATAGAACCTCAGTCTATTATTTGGGATTGTTATGTTAAAAGTGGAGTTGAGGTTGAGATAACTACAGCTTATTGGGACAGTACAGGAATGTATCTTGCGTATACTGGGTATCACTGTAGTTTAAACTGGTCTTAAGTATCCTTTCCTCCCTACTTGTCTCAGGTGGCTCCCTCAGGAGAGCGTGGACAGCCTGAGACGCTATCAAACAGCTCTGGCACAGAGCGAGCTCACTCTCTGCCCAGTTGGGATCAACACTGAGTGCTACCGAATCTATGAAGCCTGTTCTTATGGCTCAGTGCCCGTGGTAGAAGATGTACTGACACCTGGCACTTGTGCAGCAGGTCCTAGCTCCCCACTACGTCTCCTCAAAGCTGCAGGTGCACCCTTCATCTTCGTCAGTGACTGGAAGGAGCTGCCGGCCATCTTGGAGAGGGAGAGAGGGATGAACCAGGAGCAGAGGGTGGACAGGAGGAGGAGGCTGTTGGAGTGGTATGCCAGCTTCCGTCAGCAGATGAAGGAGAGGTTCACTGAGGTCATCGAGGAGACTTTCTTCAAAAGCGGCTGACTGTGGGGCTTAACTAACAGACCTTTAAAAGATTAACTGGGTTACCATTTAACATGGTTTTAATTTATTTTGTGGTGTATGGAGAAATGTGATGTACTACTGGCATAGTGAACTTGGTGATGTTTAGCGTAATATTCTTGTGCAGGTTATTATAAAAACATTTAGGCATGTAGTAAAACTTGAAACCTGCCAGTACAAATCAGTTTAAGATCTGTAAAGTTGTCCATGACATTACTGTGCATCTATCATTTAATGTTTACAATTATGGAATGATAAACTGCCTCTTTTTTTTTTTAAATCAATATTATTTTAAAAATATTTGATATCTTTGGTTGTTTGTACTTAATATTGTGACTTTTAGGAAACTAAAGATTAGGTGTAGAACAAGATGATGTGTTTTTAGGCCTTGTTTGAAAATGGTATAGAAATCTATTTTGTATTGTGAGCAGTTGGTGAATGAAAATGAATGTTGCTGTGGCATGCTTTGCTTTTTTGATCAGAACTTAACAAAAACGTTTTTGCTGTATTTATTTCCGTGCTGTGCTGCATGAGTGTTTGTTTTTTTTAACATGGTGGAATAAAGTAAAATGGAGTGTTCTAATGAAGCAGTGGCTGTGTTTGACTTATTTTTCCTGCAGATGGCGCCGTGAACCATTTAATTTGCAGTGGATACACTTATTTCATTTGAAATGTAAGGCAAAAATATTTTGAAATTGATTAAAAAAAAAGGAGTAAAACTGAAACTTTTATCAAAGAAATATCAGTCAGGTAATATCATGGAGAAACAATATTGTGGTTTACTCAGAGTTTGTGTTTTTGGGGTTGAGTATTTGTTGCATAATTCAGTCAATAATGTCTTAAATAAAGACATGTATATCACCTTTAGGGACACGTACCTCTTTTAGCTGCAATCTAAATGAGTGCATGGTGTAGTCAGAAAATATGGGGCCCCTAAGCATATTTTAACGGGCCCTTGTATAGGTCCCTGCAGCTGTGGGCCCTTACATATACTATCAACTACATTATACTGTGTTCCACTTGGTACAACACCAGATGTTTGTATATTAAAAAAACAGATCCATTAGATCTTCTTTTTGATTAAATACGGGCAAAGAAAAAGTAATAGTGTCAATGTTTTAAAGTAATTATCTCCATTTAGTGTGCCATATTCCAAAAGTAAATGCCATATTCAAGTGTTTCTCATGAAATGAAAACAGATTTATTACAAATACCATGAAAAACCATTAGACCAATGTGTAAACTGTAGAGGCCTTTAGTCATACTAAATGTTATAGTCCCTTCCAACAACTGACTGACTTAAAAAAAAGAAAGATTTAAGAGCAGTAGTGTCAGTCCACTGGTGTCCACTAGCTGTTAGCTGTGCGTATGCAGGTCCCTCCCTCTCCGCTCCATGCCTGGCTCCAGCCTGCCCTGTCCGCCTCTGAGCCTGCTGGGAGTTGGGAGAAACGGGAGAAAGCGTCGAGGGAGAGCGAGCAAGGGGCGGGTGGGGGGAGTGAGTGTGTGCGCGAGTCACAGACTGGAAATCAATGCCAAGAAGCCACGCACACTCACAATTCATATCGAGTTCAAAGACCTCATGACGGCTTGTTGGTGCTACTTTACAGAGAGCTGCGAAAAGTCGCAACAGAGACCCCTCAAACTTGCGTGCTTGTTTTTTCTTCTTCTGTGGTAGCAGCAGCAGCAGCAGTGCGCCGAGCCGCCGACTGCTCTGATAGTTGAGTGGTTTCATTGGCTGGAGCAGGATTTGCGCATTGGCCCTGCTGTATATCCGCCGTTTATCCAGAGGGAAGAGGAACAATGAAGGACTAAACGTTTTTCTTGCTCCAAGTCGAGCTTGTTGCAGACTTAAATCCTGTGTCATTTTGTCTCGCGATTCTTTTTCTTCTTTCTCGAGCGTTCATTTTCTTTCTTGTCTTGTGTGGGATGCTTTGGCTGCTATAGGATCCCGCTTGTTGACAAACAGTTTTTACAAGAAGTTTACAACAAGCAAGACAGAAAATGTCCACGCCAAGGTTCAAAAAGGATAAAGAAATCATCACGGAGTATGAGAGTCAAGTCAAAGGTAAGGAGAGATGAAATGTTTCGCCTGGTGACGTGCTTATCGGAGCCGCTTGCAGCTTTGAAAAAGACTAATTGGGACAAGGCTTGTTCATCAGTCATAGCCAGTAGCTACTGGTGGTGTGTTATATTTAAAAAGTTGGTCACATATGACATCTCACTGGCGTTTACTGTAAGGTAAAGAAATATATAGATAATAATATCCGATCTTCACATGACTTGGAATTTTGTAAAGTTGCTTAAAGGCCTAATACAGTTCAGTGATATCTATGTCAACATTACAATGGGGTGAACTTAATCAGCACTATAAAAAGGTGGGTAATTGAGTTCAGAAATGACTTTTAGTCTTTTGTTACGTAGTTTTGCACGTGAAAGCCAGTGAATGTGCTCAGCAGAATTACCACTGGTGCAAAGAGAAGATCACTGTCGTTAACAGGTGTTAGCAGGAAATTGTTATATTCAGGCTGTATGTCAAGTCAGGTGGCCGCCTTCATCTGCTGAGATAATTTACTATTCTTACTTGCTCCCATGCATTTTATTATGTTGGGACCTTATTTTAATCACTGACAGTGTTGGTGTGAGACTTTGTAGTTACCGCATTGTTCCCACATCATTACATCAGGATTATGCAACTGAAGAGATGAAGAGCACAAGATCACAAGTTCAGACGGCATACCTGTAATAGGGCTCTGTGTTTTTCTTAGGGGCATCTCAAAAGGGCTGGCTGCTTGTGCTAGTGTCCTGTTTTATTGTTCTGTATTCCTGCTTAAAGTCAGGAGCCCACACATGCTCACTCTAAAGCATAAAACTGCTGTGTGCCCTGAATGATTTAGATAGGTGATTTAGAACTGTGCAAGACACTGCAATGATGCCACCCTAACTTGTCTTATGTCCTCTGTCTCCTTCAAGTCCTGCCTCTCCAGTGAATACAGAGTAGAGGTAGTTTATCTCAGACAGGAAAGAGGCAGTTGCTGCTCTAGGGTAACCATGGGGATTTGGCCACCATCCAACCAGCTCTGTTCTTCAGCCCTGTTAGCATGCTGAAATACCACCTATTCATGTCCCTGTATCCAGCCTTAAATCCAAAGAATGGGAGGGGGGGGGACCAGTGCTGCTTGAGGAATTACAAGATTGCATATGGCTGAGCACAAGCTCTCATTTGCAAGGAATGTTCAGCACCCTTTCGTCTTCCTGTGATGATGACTAAGGGCTTCCAGGCTATAATAGAGGATGATGCACAGTCAGAGGGGATGCTGAACATGAGGTGACGAAGCCTTCCATTTGCCCTGCAACACCCAGTGGGATAATAACAACAACCTGATGCTGCTGAGAATAGCTGTTGCTTGATAGAACCGCTGGAGCCTCAGTAAATCAATGCTTTGGTGTGTTGCTTTATTGAAAATGCAGAATTCAATTCAGAGGCACCAATGTTAATGCACTGAAGTTTGTCATGCATTGTAAGTAACATTTTGGGGGGAGTTGGCATCACAGGTATCACCAGTCTATTTGCATAAAACACTGTAATTGTTCTTTTTTGCATTGCAAATAACCTGTGGGTAGTTAATTTGAGAGCTGGTTTAAATCATATCAAATGTTTTATTTAGACGAAGACATCCGAGGATGTATGAGGATCATTTTAGTGTTACATTTAACACTGTTAATGTATAAAGTTCTTTTAGTTTTTATATAAGCTGTGCTCACTGTAATTAACCATGGAGAGACATTATGCTACTTATTTGGACACTCAGCATATTCAGACCTACTCTATTTTCTCTACAAAACCTAATGTGTTTATACTTGTTGTCAAGCCTGCCAATGAGAGTCTTTAGTTGGCTCCTGCAAGCGCGAGACCCTGTTTGTTTTGGAATAATAGCTACCAGGCTCATAAGGATAGCAGTGGAAAAAATACATAGTAATGTAGTAACATGGTGTTTGCATTCACTCAACACTAAAAATTCTCTTTCAGAGCAGCTCCTGATTTTACAGCTGTAAAGCATTTTATGAGTTAAGAGTTTGCAGTGATAATGAGTGGGATCGCATCTGCAGTGTAGCTGTAGCCAGAGGCAGATTCTGGTGAACAGACATTGATTACTTAAGACAAAGAACAACAAACAGCCCCGAGAACAGTAGGAGCTCATGTTTATCTTTTGGCGTGCATCTTTGCTGTCTCACAGTTTCAGAAATGGCCTAATTCTTACAATACTGCAACAAATATCTGGCAGCCAGTTTTGTCTTATCTTATGTAATCACATTGATCTGTCCTCTGTCCTGATTTTTGATGAACTGTTGGCATCTGCAATCACCCAGTCGTCTACAAATATTTTTTGTGAGAATCATACATTTTCTGTATTTTTCAGTGTCATGACAGCAGCTTTGTCCTACTCTATCAGTCAAACTAATTATATAGCAACTTTAATATAAGTAGTGCAGTTCAAAGTGCTTTACAGATAAAAAAGACAATCAGGCAGAAAAAGGCAATTATGTAAAAAATTATAAAAAAACAAATTTTAAAAACATCAATCAATAAAACTGAATTAAGATAAATCCAGTGAATAGATGAGAGGTTTTTAAAGTAGTTTTCTCTGGTGGCTGCCTGAAAGCCTCCTTATCATGGCTGACACTACTGTTCTCAGGCCCTACTTGTCATTCAGCTGACATTCACTTCTTAAGTACCCTCCAACACCCTCTTATTTACCCTCCCACAGAAGACAGGAAAATGAAGTCATTTTGGCCAGTTCAAGGGAATTCTCACTTTATTGAAAAAGCCTTGTGGCAAAGGGGTTTAATTGTTGCTAACTGCTAAAATCCACATCTACACCAAGACTCATGCCTGTTGTGGGAAAACAGAAACATTAAGAAGATTGGGTTAAGACAGCGCAATTATTTGTGCTTTATAGTGCACATCGGTTCCAGTCTAGGGGGAAGCTTGTGGATGCACTGGTGTTCTCTCTGTGCCTGTGTTTCTGTGGACTGGTGGATCAGGGCATAGCAACACTGCTGTCTTATCTCTGAGGAAAAGTGTTGTTTTAATGTCACATTGTGGCCTGGGTTTGAAGCTCTGATGGCAGCACCCCTCCAGCCTGTGACCGGGGAACTCTCCTGGATCATCATAAAGGCTGCCCTCCTTGACCTGCCTTCACTTCAGTTTGAAATCAGAGCTCTGCCCCTCCACACCCTCACCGAGTGGTTTACCCGTGCTTATATGCAGGGGGATTAGAAGCAAGAAGCTGCTCTGAGGTGGTATGGTTGTGATTATCTTTTAAATTTATAGGATTTGTCTTGTAGTTGAAAGTCATTAGTTTATTTACATTAGAAGTAGTTGGAAGTAGACAACACTCAGAAAGTGCAAACCTCAGCCAAGGCAGATCAGTTCTCAGTTTCCCTATAATGCCATTACACCTAAAAGCAAAATTCCCATGATAGTTTGACCCTCATAATATGATTTCTCCACCATGAAAACCTACTGTACCATTTGGAATCACATTGATGTCATTATTAATTTGAAAGTTATTCAAGAAAAACAGTAGACATAAGCAATTACTAAATGCCACCAACACCTGAATAAATGTCCCATGCAGACTGACATAACAGTGTGTGCTAACAGTCCTTCATGGATTACTTAAGACTTTAGAATCCATTTTCCAATGTGTCTTCCGCTACACCTGTTAGCTCTGCTCATCTTCACCTCAAGTGCTCAGGAGCACCGCCTTGCACTTTTACCATAAGGGGGCTCACATACAGTCAACAGCCTCTCCAACACTCACAGTATTTTAGGTAATGTGCATTTTGGGCATTATGCCTTTATTATTACTTTTTATGGGGTAAGTAGGTTGCAGAGAGGTGGACAGGAGACAGGGGAGTGGACCTGCGACATAGGTTGGCAGTCAGACACGAACCACCAATGTCATGTACACACTATGACTACGTTCACACTGCAGGTCTTAATGCTCAGATCAGATTTTTTGCCGAAATCCGATTTTTTTTTTTTGCGTTGTTGTTCACACTGTCATTTAAATGCGACTGCCATCTGTCTCGTGTGAACGGTATACGGCCCTGAGGTGACCCGCATGCGCAGAAGAGGACCTGACATCAGACGCAGCGTACTGTGTTTGCGAAAATAAAAATGGATGCGGCTCGTGATAGCATGTGCATAGCGATGTACCAGTTAATGTGCAATCGACATAAAGTAATAATAAGGAGAGCACAAATATTGCGTATGGCCTCGCCTCCTCCAGCGCAGAATTGTGATGTCTGTCGCATTTCAATGACATAAAAATCGCATGAAATGCGACATGACCGTTCAGACTGAAGTTGCATTGCAAATCATCGGATATGTATCCGATTTAGGACCACATATGAAAGTGGCCTGGGCCAGATTAGAAAAAAATTGGATTTGTGCTGTTCACACTGTCATAAGGAAATCGGATATGGGTCACATTTGAGGCAAAAATATCGGATTTGTGCTACTTCAGCCTGCAATGTGAACGTAGTCTAAGTTTGCGGCGTATATGGTGCCTTGCACCAAAATGGCTTTGGTGCATCAGTAGGGGTGTGATGAGATCTCTTGTGCCACAAGATGTCATGATATTAAAACATGATGATATTTCTCATCAAGAAAGCTGTCTCATGATATCGGTACATAACAGAACTGGGCCAGTATGACAGAGCGTAAAAACACATTAGTCCAGCAAAAAATGCAACTCCCTGCTGTGTTTTCAGTGCACAGGGATGCATTGGTTGGGGGGTGTGGGGTTGCAGGGGGAAACATTGTAGGTGTGATACCCTACCTCTTCATCAAAGCAGTATGACAGAGCGTAAAAACACATTAGTCCAGCAAAAAATGCAACTCCCTGCTGTGTTTTCAGTGCACGGGGATGCATTGGTTGGGGGGTGTGGGGTTGCAGGGGGAAACATTGTAGGTGTGATACCCTTCCTCTTCATCAAAGTCCATTCATTACCTTTTGAGTTACGCTGTGAACAACCCAACTAAAAATATTACTTCCG